CCCCAAAACCCCAAAACCCCAAAACCCCAAAACCCCAAAACCCCAAAACCCCTCCTTACTTCATCACCATTGATTATCATGCGATACACCCAAATCCGCTTCAACCCTCTTAAATTTTCAAAAATCCAAAATCCGCTTTTAACTCTCTTTATTTAAAATTCACCGCAAGTTTGCTGCCTGGTACCCACTCATAATCATGAACGCCTATAAAATAAGTTTTAGGTTGATTAAGACCTACCTCTCTTGGCTAGATCTGCATTGGCATGTGTCTCAAACTCAACAACGGCAACTCAGGTCCCAGGATTCACAAATACATCCTTAATTCCTTGATAATGAGTTAGGAGGTGTCTAACCTGATCCTCAGTCACGTTCTTTGGAAGGTTTTCAAAAGTTAGTGTCTTTTTCTGGGACTCAAGCATGAGTCTTTTCTCTTCCTCCAGAGTTTCCTTCATTTTATCCTGAATGTCATCGATGTCTCCCTTGACTTCTTCTATTTGTTCTTCCATGTTCTTTCTCTTTTGCTCTCTTTCCTTAGCTTCGTTTTCCTTTTTCCTCTGGAATCTCTTATTTAATTTCATATTTATCGAACTCTCCCCTTGCCTTGAGGGTGGCGTCAGAGGGTTGCTTGGCGTACTGAATTTCCTAAATTATTAGCAGGGATTCAGTACCATTTTCTTTTCGAAGAACGTGTGACCTTGTAGATCATGCTGGGCTTTCTGCGCGTTATCGACACTACTGAAAACAACAAAAGCTTGTCCTTTCATTTTAAGATTTTTCTTGACAGTGATCTCAAGAATGTCACCGTATAGTCCGAATAAGTGGAAAAGGGAATGTTGCATATCTATAGTGGGTTAGTCCTGGCCCTGAAGAGACATAAAGCGTCATCCTAGGAAATAAGTAATCAGCTTACCATCTTTCTTAATTTTCTCATTAAGATTCCTGATATACAAGGTCTGGTTTGGCTGAATAGCCTTTGCCTCCCTTTTCTTAGTAGGTTGTTCCTCATGATTGTTATTGGGGGTATCTATGTTATCTTCCTTACTATTTTCAAAATGAGAATGAATAAAAAGACCGTACCTTGGTTGTTGTTGCTCTTGGCCTCCGATAGGCCTCAATCCGTCCATTGATCCAGGTTCCATTATAATATTTTAAATATTCCTATTATTGGAATCTAAATTGGGGTTTTGGGGTTTTGGGGTTTTGGGGTTTTGGGGTTTTGGGGTTTTGGG